CCTTGTCTTCGTACGATTCGTTTAATTTGTAGAGACCTTCGAAAATCTTAACAGTCTTTTCCAAGTCGTTCTCTTGAGAGACTAATAAAAGACGGTCATACATAGAGCGTTGGGGTACCCATGTCGTACTAAAGAAATTGTGCTTGCACCACAACGTATATTCTTCCATTGTGTTGAGTAGCCCTTTTTCCCCGTCCAAGTCGGCCTTCTCCTTCGCCCAACCCCGTAAGTGATCCATGCAGAAGCTGACTCTGTTTTTCTCATCTGTAATGGACAGATTTTTTGTTTCGAGAAGGCGGTTCATGTTACTCAAATATTCTTGAGCGGCCCGGTCTTGTTCTGCGTCGCTGAAGTACATTGTCGGGTTGAAGGTCAAGGTCGACGTGTCTTTATTTGTCTCTGCGCTCATTGTAGTTTCTCCCCTGGTCGTAACTAAGCTGCGCTACCAACTATTATGAAACAGCACCGCACATTGTTAAGCCAGAGATGCAAAGGATTCAAATAAAGCTTATGCCCAAGACCGAAATCCCAAATATTTCCCCGCTGTTTTCCAACAACCTTGCTTTTGAAAAACATGTGTTAAAGTTCAACTTGCCGAAGTTGTTTCTTTCAATTTTGTATTTTGACTTGGTATCTCTCATCGAAATGTTGAACATAAGAGTTGACAGAATGATGTGAAGATGGGGAGTTGGCAATATGGATGTGTAACTTCGGAATGAAATTTGGCTATAAGGTTCAGAGTAGTAAACCCGTGGATTTGAAGGGAGGCGGAGATGCCTTGAAAACAGGATAACGGGGAAATGTGATTTGCAGATCGTAAAAAATCAGAAAGTTGATACACTTTAAATATTGGGATTGTGATGTTTCACTAGAGAAAATAAATTTCTGGACACAAAAAAAAAAATAAAAAGAGGCTGACATAGTCACTACTGAGTGGCACTTACAATGACAAAAAATGAATGGCGTTTTCCTAAGCTTGAAGGAGTTGGAGCATGCATATCGGGGTCTTGTATCCCCGCGAGACTGCTCACGGTTGATCACCAGAGTATAAATTTGACGACACAGCCCAGATAAATTGACTTATGGGATTTTTGCTTCAGGGTTCACTTGAATTTTTTGCAATGAGGATGTCTTTATGAGAGACTATTTCGTAAATTGATGACAGTATTATGCAAAAAGATAGTTTAGAGACAGAATGTGCAGGCCTTTCAGAGCGGATGAACGGAAGTAGATGGGCCGATCACTGACACTAAACAAGTAATAGAAAGACGTGTGAAAAAATCAAAACCTAAATGCTTTAATCACATATAGTGAATAGAAGTGAAAGCTCGTATGAGTAGCTAGCTCACTATCTGCTCGGTAACAGTGAAAACGACATTTTTTGTCTGCCTTTTTCAACAATGACGTTGGCAAAATTTCTTTCTGGGTCCCAAACTTGTTATTGGGTTCAATTAAGCTTGCGGACCATTTCTGGCATTCCATATTTATTTTATCATTTATTGCCATCAATGTCATGTTAAGTTCATGCCGATGGAGGTACAAAATGAGTAATTTTATCATCCGAAGCTATCATACGGAAAATTTGTTGAGGGTGAGTAAGGAGCAATGTTTTTTGATTTTCATTTTTTTTTTTGATTTTATTTAAGCGAAAAAGATGATGCCTGTGAAGATATAGACGAGTATTCCTGAGAGTTCACATGACAACAAGACGTATCACTTGCCAGAAGAATGCAATCTCCAAATGAAGAATAGTCTTTATTTGTGTCAGACAATATTGAAAATGAACACCAGCTCGAGTCTCGAGCTCCAAATTTAATGAACAAAATAAAAATGATAGTCATTCGAAAGAATTTTGTATGGAGTTCTTTGGTCGTTATAAAACGAATTGACATGGTCTTTTTAAATTGTTGGGTTTAGTCTTCGATAAGCATGTTTTGAGGTCAAAGTCAAGCTCACAAGCAACCTCTTATCCCTTAAAAGCTTTAGTTTAGAAAAAGACTTCATGTATGAAAACAGGGAGACTACAGCTGAAACAACACGAAGAGCTCAAGTTTCTTAGAAGTCTGTTTATCTTCTGGTTAGAATTTTGACTTCGGAGTTTTTCAAGAGCCCTATTTAGCTCTGTACTTCTCACTAATTAAACCCTTCTGGTTAAATGCGATGGAACAAAAAAGGGATTTGATTGGTAAAAAGATAGTATAGTATTCTCCGCGTTTTGTGCCGTCATATACCTCCTTGAGGCGCTATATTAATGTTACAAAATCAAGAAGCTCCCTACATTTTGGGCCGTAGCTACGCAGTCATGGTGATGATTTATTCTAGTTTCAGGCGACTTTGTTTTACCTCCACTTCAAAAAAGCATATGAAAGCAGCTCCCAAAGAGAAGCGGACGTCGATTTAGCATTCACGAAAGCAAAACATCTTTCTTAAAAATTCAAAGTGGTTTTGAAAATATGCTAAATGTATTTTCGTTTTAAAAGAAGTACTTAAAATTGTTTCGATCACATTCTCAAAG